CGATATCTGACACATTTTGTCATCAAACTGCTCCAGTGTGTAGCACTAGTTTCTTCCACATCTCATCCAAAGCCTTCTGTTGTATTTTGATGTGATTTCTGACTGTTGTAGCTGTGAAATAAATCATTCAGCGTAGTGATATGGAGCTGTAATGCACCATAAAACCTGCCGGAACTACTTTAGCTGTGTTTATCTGAAAATAGCCAAATGCATTACAATGCTCATCAGCCAATCAGAATCAAGCATTCAGCAGCCCAGAGTTCAGATTAAACATGCATCATATTTTCATGGATATGTTTCTTCATTTAAAGTGGGACATGATCTGGGTCTGCCAGACTCTGAGGCGATGTGAGCACTTGGCTGTCAGATCTCCATCTGGACAAACGACCCAACCTCATTCCCTCCACAGAGCAAAAGAAAAACTACACACACAGACAAAAAAATCACGAGATGCATGTGTGTGCTTCATTTGTTTAAAGCCTCTGTTTACTGCTTAGGAGTTTAGGGTGAATGTGTGTGTTTATTGATGTTAAAATGCTGTCAAAGATTCTTAGGAAGGTTAATCTAAACCTTAAGCAGGAAGCACACCAGAAGCGCCGCTCGGTGACGCACAGCGTTGCACCACGCAGCGTCATGCATTTCAAATTTCTATCAGGGTACACATAGTCGGCAGCTCTCCGCGGCGCCTAGCCACAAATCAGGCCACTGTTCATATTTCTACCGTGCCAGAGCGCCATCTGAATAGTTTCATTTTAAATACCGTGTTGGTTCTTGAATCGGCGAGGCAGTGGCCCAGTAGGTAGTGCTGACGCCTCACAGCAAGAAGGTCACTGGGTCGCTGGTTCGAACCTCGGCCCAGTTGCCGTTTCTGTGTGGAGTTTGCATGTTCTCCCTGCCTTTGCGTGGGTTTCCTCCGGGTGCTTCGGTTTCCCCCACAGTCCAAAGACATGTGGTAGAGGTGAATTGGGTAGGCTAAATTGTCCGTAGTGTGTGTGAATGTGTGTGTGGTTGTTTCCCAGTGATGGGTTGCGGCTGGAAGGGCATCCACTGCGTAAAAACTTGCTGGATAAGTTGGCGGTTCATTCCGCTGTGGCGACCCCGGATTAATAAAGGGACTAAGCCGACAAGAAAATGAATGAATGAATGGTTCTTGAATCTGATTGGTTGATAGCCGTGCGATATTTTGCAAGTAACAGCACACAAAGGTCTCTTCACTCTTCACCTTTGTGTATTACTCCGCCCATATACAGTCAGCAACAAGCAGAGAGACACTACCGTTTGACAAAAATTACTGTTGTTAGACAACAAAATGTACTTTTGAGGCTTTTTTAGTCGAGAATGTAGTAGTTTAGATTGGAACTATGCAGTTTATTTGTAAGAAAAGTGCCTATTTTAAAGGGTGAAAAATCTACTTTTCAAGCTGTTTGGACAGACGTGTGTGAATATATAGTGTATAGACTGTCATATTGGGGTGAAATAAACACACACAGTCCTTTTATTTCAATTTAACAACATAAAAACGTTGGACCGATTGGAGCGGTTTTCAGACCGACCCCAACTTTACGTAGGAGAGCGGTCCCCCAGCCCACAAATATTGATTGAAAGCCTCGCGTCACGATCATATCTTCAGTTTCTTGTTTTACATCCGCCATCTTCAGCGTGTGAGTCAAAGCAATATCACTAGAGGAACAGCCGTGCTCTATTTTTAGATGAGAGGCTCATTGGGGTCAACACAAGAACAATATTCTCCACATTATCGCTCTAATCGGAATTATTACATGTACCTTTTGCGTTGCGCGGCACAGTGCATTTCGGAGTTCTGGTCATGAGTTTCTGCTGGGGTGCACGCGGCGGAGCCGGGTTGGCGGCTCGGCTGCGCCGTTGTGTTTGCCCTGGTGGAGGCTTGTGTTGAGTTCTGGAATGCGTGGCGCGACGATTCGGGACACGTCATGTTTCTGCCGTGCCACTGAGAGTGTCTGGTGTGCCATGACGCAGCGCATTCGGTGCCTCAGTCAAAGTTAATTCAGTGTGTGTGGTTATTAGTCTCAGTGTACAAGCTCGGCACTTGTACATCGAGACTATACAAACTATACAAAGACACAAATGATTTTGTACTCTCTGCTCAGTCTGTGTCCGAGTCGTACATGTACGGCTGAATGTTCATCCTAGCTATGCTTAGCTTCTCTCTCTCTGTCTGTCAGCCTGCCTGTTGCAAACACAGAGTGTGGGAGCTTTTGGCTCCGCCCCCTTGTTACATTGGACGGGAAGCGGAAACTACTTTTCATGTGAAGCAACACGCCCCTAAAACAGCAAACTGTGTACACTTCCCCAACATGACACTTTTGAACACATTATAATAAAAACATCAGAACTGTGTGTTGAACTAAACCTAAACTGGCACACTCAGAAGAACCATAATACTAATATTAAATCATTAAAAAGGGGCACTAAACTATTAGCCTGCTATAGAGTTGACCAAAGACGGTTGATGTTTTCTATTCACAAGATGATGACAGAATTGCATAATAAGCCCTTACGCGTAGAAGTTTATAACAGTATTTTGCTGGGAGTATCCCGAATTTCAAACCAGTCTCCAGCAACAATCCGGTTTTTAATTTTTTCTAGAAAACTCGTTGCAACATATCCTGATTCTCAACAGTGTTTTTCAGAGACCTCACCCCCGAACACCCCCTCCGGCCTGTCTCCCGGATTTTCAGACACATGTTGGCAGGTATGCTGTAAGTGATATTCTAAGTTGATCTCTCTCTTTTGTATGTTGTAGTGCTGTATTTATACCGATTTGTTTGCATATCAGCAATGTGTGTTGTGTTGGCACACTGAAAAAAAAAAAATATTCAAAGATGATTCCTTGGATTTACTAAAAAAATTTAAGTTAAGGGCTTGTAAACAATTTTTTGGGCTGAATTTAAACAAACAAATTAAGTTGAACATTACTCAATTTAATTTGTTTGTTTAAATTCAACACAAATAAATTGTTTGCAACAATTTTGCAGACATTATTTTTGTTAGTGCAGAATGAAAGATTTTGAACATTTGTCCAGGTGGTATCGTTCATTTCAAGTCTTTTGAGTCGTTCATCGCGGAAAGGCAGAAGCCAATCATAAGTGTTTAGAGCCGGATAAAGAGCTGATCCGCTCATCTCTCGAGTCTTCTGTCGGGTCTGAGTTATTCGTTCCTCACGGGCCAATCATATGCGTTCAGAGCCGGAAAAAGAATTGATCCGTTCATCTCTCAAATCCTCTATCAGGTTTGAGTCATTCTTTCCTCATGGGCCAATCATATGCATTTAGAGCCAGAGAAAGAATTGATCTGTTCATCTCTCGAGTCTTTTATCAGGTTTGAGTCATTCAGTCACGTGATGAACAAATGACTCAAGAACCAGAAGACTCGAAAGATGAACTAATTATTATGACTTCTATCGGCTCAGACTGTGTACATTGATTAAGATTATATGAGACTGTCAGTGTAACGTGAACGAACCACTGACATTTGAAGACATGAAGAGGTGAGCTGAGCAAAGAGACAACAATACCTTCACAGACAAAAGAGCAGGTAAACATTGAATTATTATTTTCTCCTTCTTATATTCGATTTATGACTTATTTGTCTTGTGATCAACCTTTTGGGCTAGTTGTAGATGTGTTTAGAAGCAATTCGTAACATTTTAATAATATTTTGGCAAATTGAACCAAATGAAGAAAATGACTCGCAAAAAGATTCGTTCATCTTGATGAACGAGACTCAAAGATCCGAGTCAGTAAAATGATCCCAACTTCCCATCACTAAACAGCAGTCTGGTATTGACTGCGTTGCTTTTTTCGGGGTTAATTATTGTGATATCCTGATTGCAACCGAGAAATACTGTAAACTGTAACACTGTAAGAAGATATCTCTGTAGACTGATGGCATTTCATGTCACATTCAGCCTTATAATCTTAAAGTGAACAAAATCAGCTGTTTTGTCATCACTTTAGACATTAAGCTATAGAGAGTCATTCAAACACTAGCTCTAAAGTGACGTTGGTGAATTAGTAACGGCTTCTGCAGTTTTGACGTCAGCTGCAGATGTGAATGATTTGCCGAAGAAAGTACTTTTAAATAAAAAGGGGTTTTTAGACTCTTCGTGTTTGATTTTCTTATTTTTTATATACATGATGGTGCCGTAGAACTGCTGTATAAACGCAATATCACATGAGTAGCAGTGCGATATGGCTGTATATCAGCACTGGTGGGACGCTAAGTCATGAGGCTGCATGCCTCCCACCAGTGCCATATTGCACTGCTACAAGTGTAATATTGATTTTAT